AGTCGAAGCAACAACACAAAATACCAAACCAGTGCAATGTTGTCTATGTCTAAAATACAATCATGCAGCAAAGTACTGCAAAAACAAGCAACAGTTATGTACCCGTTGCGGTTATAACCACCAACTGGATCACTGTACTGCTGCTTCAGATTTGCTGAAATGTTGCAATTGTAAAGGCAATCGCTTGGCCACATCTAAGGATTGTTCGAATTATATAGAACAGGAAAAGACTGAAAATTTTGGTTAGTCAATATACGTCGTCTTACAAGGCGGCGCCTGTATCAACATTAAATGATCTTCAAGAATATCCTGCATTACCAAGCATCACACAGTGATATATTGGAGCAACTAATTAATACTCTGGCAGATAAAATGGAAAAGATTATTGAAGCAACGACAAGTTGTTTAATGAAATCTCTCCTGCAAAGAATAAAAACAAATTGAAAAAACAATTGCAGAAGTTGCAAATATCAACAGCGACGATGATACACATATAGATTCGATTTCTGATTCGGACAGGGTCGATGATATAAAAGTATTAAACAACAACCAAAACAATCTTCAGTTACAACTAAACCTGTAAAAGCAAAGATCATTCATTCATTCGCATCAATTAAAACAACAACACAGTCAACACCTATTACTACCGATACTTCAGCCAAAATCCAACGTAAACCCAAAACAATATCTAAAGCAGTCAAATGAAATCGCTCTTCCAACAGCTTGCTAGATTCCACTACAACTGATAATAAAGAATTAAAAACAAATATTAATGATGATTAGTGTGTGTCATATTAACATGAACTCAATCAAAAAATACAAAGATGAACTCCTTGCTAGGTTCTCCAAATACGATGTTATCTCTATAAATGAAACTAACTTGAAAAGAGATCAACCATTCTCTTTAAAAGGTTATAACATTTACAGAAACGGCCAAGTAGGAAAACCTGGTGAAGGAGTATTACTTGCAATCAAACAAAATATCAAATGTAGTGAAATAATTACTTACCAAAACTGTTGAAAAAAATGAAATTATAGCTGTTGCAATTGCTACACATTCATTAAAGAGTGCAATAATTTCTTCGATTTATGTTCCACCATCAGCAAAAAATCCACTCCAACATCTTCAATGAACTGCACAACTTAAACAACAATTGCATCATAGTAGGAGACCAAAATGCAACATTAATTAATATGCTATCAAGAAAAACAAATGCAAGAGAAAGATAGTTACAAGGGGTAATCAATGAAGGATATATCAACTGTATTGATGATATTAGCCAGTCAACCACTTTATTCATTAATATCAAACGCTGAAACACATCCAGCAATAGGTACCATAAGTGGGCACAAACCATTAACCTTCGATATACCAATTGGAATTGAACCTTAACCAGCATCTCCACGAATATCCCTAAACTTCAATGCAGCAAATTGGCCAAAGTTTAGAAACAAACTAAATGAACAGCTAATGCTTTGGAACAAACATCGTCACATTACATCATCATCAAATATAGAAGAATATACGACATTTAATTATCACCAACAGCATTAGAATAGCAACATAAGAAACCATAACAACACCAAAACAGCTGAATAAAAATATTAGATTAAGTGAAACTACCAAACATCTGATCCAGCTCAAGCACCAAACTTATCGTAAATGGACAAGCACTGGAGAAGATAGCGAAAAACTACAACATTTTAAATACAAGATGTTATTAGAAAATTCACTTAGAAACGACAGGAAAATCAACTTCAACAAGCTTATGTCGTCACTATGTCAAAAGAAAATGTACTCCGACTCAGTATGTCTTACGGTCCGCAAGTTTCACAACAAGCTAGCAAAACAAAACCACTCTAAGAACATCAAATACAACAACGTGCCTGCAACATTAGACAAGGAAAAAGTAGACTTATTTGCTGAATATTTCTAAGATGAAGTTTAGCTCAAAGCTCCTGACACAGTACCGTTTCATCCGCAAGTGACATGACACGCGAACAACATTAAAAACGGATCTGCTAATACGAAACAAAACAAATGGAAGGAGATCACAACAAAAGAAGTTAAATCGAATATACAATAACTGCGAAATAGCTCCACTGGGCTGGACAACATCCACAACAGATGCTTGAAGATTAAATATGGGTTGTATTCCAGATGCATGAAAAAATGCCAACATTATACTCTAGTTAAAACCAAATAAAGACAAACAACACCCATCAAGTTGTCGCCCAATTAGTCTTCTTAGCTGCCTCGGCAAACTCTTGGAGAAAATAATTAAGCAACAACTGATTCAGAGATGGGCGAATCAAGTCAAAAATGACTTAAGTCCAAGTCAAGTCAAGTCATTTTTGACTGGCTTTGACTTGACTTGAACAACTTTTCAATGACTCGAAGACTTGACTTTGACTTGGATAGTCTTTTTTATCAGGGACTTGTGACTGGGCATGACTTGACTTGGATCGAAAATTTTTTAACTTGACTTGACTTGTGAATTGCCGAAAAAACATGAGTCAAGTCAGAAATATTTCTGCAGCTATGATGGATGTTAAATTCATAAACCCTAACGTTATTTTTTTTTGCTCTACTAGAAAGTGCTACTGTCAAGTCAGGTAATCCTTGAAAATAACGCCGTTTTAATGCGATAAAAGCACATTTCAGGTCGTTAAAACNTTAGGTCGTTAAAACGCGTTTCTACCATACAAATCGTTGAAAGGCACCAAAATGTGCGCTTTTAACGCGTAAAAACGTCGTTATTTTTAACATTTGTCTGCCTGAGTGGTTGTGGCATCCATTCGCGACGGAAAATTGCCCATTTCTCATGACAGCGAATATGCATAGTCAATATGCAATAAGAAATGAAACATTTCACAACATCATCATCTACAGAAAGGGTTTTCTCTCAAAGTAGCTTCATATTGCGACAACATAGATCGAAAATGTCAAGAAAGACATTAGAAATGTTAACAACGCTAAAATGTAATCAAGGACTAACGTAAAATTTTTGTTGATTACATTGATACAGGATTAAATTATAAAGTTTTAAAGAAATATCAATCTCATGACATGACTTGTCAAAAGACTTGACTTACTAAAGACTGTGACTTGTGACTGACTCGGCTATCGTTGGGACTTGACTTGGCTTGACTTGACTTGAGCGCTTCTCTTTTGTAGGTGTGACTTGACTTGACTTGACTCAAGTATCTTGTAAAAATGACTTGAATTGACTTGGGTAAAAAAGAGCCTGATTTGCCATTCTCTGAACTGATTGTTATACTTGAACGACGCAACATCTTACCAGAACATCAAGCTGGCTTTCGACCACGAAAAAGCACCTTAAACAACATCATAAGATTAGCAAAATATGCTCAAAGCCAGATGCATGCTTCTGGCTGTCGTCGCCATGCAACTGTTATATTATTCGATATAAACGCTGTCTTTAACTCCGTCTGACACCATGATCTAATCTCTTTCGTACAGAATAGAACTGCTGCAATCGAAATTGAAAATACACTTTCCAGATCATTCAACCTCAATAGTGGTACTCCACAAGAATCTCCGTTATCAATATTACTTTACATAATATATACGGCAGATTCAATGAATTGAATATCACAACATGCAGAACATGGATTATTTGTCTATGACACTGTGCTTTGGACATCATCAAACACAATAGCAAGCATTAGTTCCAGGTTACAATAGTCTATAGGCGAATTCCAAAGCTGGTGCAAATCATGGAAACTCCAACTACAACCAACAAAAACGGAACTAATTCACTTCACCATTCAGCCACGAAGAAAATTTAAGAATCCATTATCAGTCAAAATAGATGATACAGTCATTAAATCATCCAATTCAACAAGATATTTAGGCATTATTATCGATAAAATGTTGAATTTGAGAAATCATCTTCGTCATATCGAATCGAAGATTGCTGGCCGTATCAGTCTGCTTCGTTTTTTTAAATAGAGAAGCCTACGAGCCAAATGACAAAATTATGATTAACATCTTTAGATTAATAGCAAGATCGATTGTCATCTACGTTTATCCAATACTACTAACAGCTAACGACAGAATATGGGAAAGACTACAAATCATGCAAAACAAAGCCATTCGTGCTGCATTAGGAATACGCATTTATACATCCGACGATTATATACACAAAATCACCAGCATACCCAAAATGAAAGAATATGCAGTGACACTTCTGCAAAGTAATATTCAAACAGCATCATCAAACAACGGCCAACTTAAAAAAAACAATCTTCAAGAAATAGTTAACATATTATAAAAATCAATCACTTGCCCATGTTATATATTATATATAGTATCGTCATTATCGATCATTATTGAGTCAACCGAATACATGTAAAAATTGTTACATCGGACGCTCCGACTTCAACCTTGCATCATATAGCACATTATAACAACATCCATCGTATCACATCTTTTCACGAGACATAAGACATTGTCATGCTTCTCGTCGTTTCTCTTCAGTCTTTCGCTATTTTTAATAGTTCTTGCTTTTTTTTTGTTAGCATCTAAATGAAGGCTTTGTCTCCAAAGGACAAAGTAAACGAAGAATTGGAGAATACAGAATTTTTTACTTCTTGACCCTTACACAAAAGATATTACGTCATAGTTGAATTAATTAATCGATAAAATTGAAGAATAATTATTCTTAGGATGGGATAAAACGCGTTGAGAGATCAATGGGTGTATCAGAAACTTTTCATGTGATGTTAAAAAAGAGTTCAACTTCGCTTCAATTGGAATTTAGAATTCGTCAGTTCAGAAAAACAAGTTGAACGTTGCTTGAGAATTAATTTTACAAAAATATTGATTTATATTTATTAATTAAATGTTGGGCCTATTCAGCAGATTTTACAACATAATTTGCATTATGTTTATTGTGCACAATGAAACTGACAACATAAATTAGAAAGAAAACAAAAAACGAAAGCATACGCCTAAGATAAATAAATCGTTAAAGTTATATAAAAAGGCATTTAGTTAATTTAGCAATCGGTATGCTCTGGCATGTACTACCACTGTTCCATGTTGAAGAAAAATGCATTGTAAGTAAATCATTTTGTATCCAAACAAATTTACTGATTGCTCGCATACCTTCACGTTTGTCATTGTATTGAAGACCTTCTGAATTCCAAACAATATCGCTTAGTAATTGTTCCAAAAAGCAAAATAAAGCATTCATATAAATATAATCAACATTAATCGATGCTGAACCACCTTTATTTGTATGTATTTGTCCAACTCTTGATAAATATTCAAGAAATGAATCATTCCATTCACGCTGTGTTAATATACTTTTTAAATAAACGCTTAACATATCTTTTCGAAATTCTGTTTGAACAATATCTAATGTTATACCTAGTTCTTTATTTGGTGTAAACATTTCAAAACCATCATTTCGCACTTGAAAATAACGCTTTGTTGTATCAAATGCAAACAATTTTTTATAAACTGAATCAATGACCACTGGAAGAAGTGGAGTTATAATTGGTGCCAATGAATTGAGCCGTGTTACATCATCTTGACTGAAGTCAATAAGTTTTGATATAAAATCAAAACGATAACGAATATCGTTGTTTAATCGAGTTTTGTCTATGTGTTCAGCCATCATCGTAATAATAATAAAATATAAAATGAGACGTTTCCTTCCCTTGCTACATCTAAATTTATACTTCATATGATCATATCAATGCCAAGTCATGCGTTATTTAGCTTCTCTAACACGCATGGAAAGAAAAACAAAGAATTTCCTTTTAATTTTGTTCAGATTTATTCATTTCAATGATGGGATTTTAGAAAAAAAGTATGCTTAAAATGGAATGAACGATCGGCGAGGATAAAAAAACAAAAAAATTTGAAAGGAAAATCTTCTGCTATCTTTGAAAAAGTCCTCGTCAAGATCATGCCGAAAAGGTCGTAAGCACTTCAGCTTTTAAAGTAAACTCAAAGTTTACATATATTTCTTTGCAAAAAAAACGATTCATTCTTGTTTTATACTTAGTTTCAATTAGATATTAAATGATGAACATATACACTTAATGAAAATGTCGTTGTCATCTAAAATCATGAGGAAAAAATATGGCCTATTTTGAACATCTGTTTGCTAATGATTATAATTCGTTTCCTGTAAAATTAACGAACTCGAAAGATGAAATGAGTCATCAGTGAGAAAAAGCTTTAAAAACATATGCTTTAGAGTCGTAAGAAATAGCATAATTTCTGCTTAGTCGTCCATATGATGGTATATATTTAATGTGCTTCAGATCTCATTTTTAAATGCTACAATATTGAAAACGGCATGCGTTGATTCTGACTTAGTTAAATCATAAACAATTAATCGTATAGAAAATAAAACTCTACTAAACTAAGCATTAAATATACTTTTCAATTTTCTTTTAATAATTTGAAGAACGTCTTCAGTTGCATCAAGAATACAGCTACCAATCGGAAATGTCTGATGTTTCTCCTTCTTCTTCTTCTTCTGCTGCGAGAAAGTACGAGTTGATATTTTTGAATAGTATGGCTACATTTAATAAAATGTTTTTCAAATAGATTGTAATTGAAGTAAATTAAGAACTAGACAAACAATAAAATAAAATATGGTTGATAGAATTAATTTGTCGTCGTATAGATGAAGAAGTACACAGCAAGTACGAATGACACTTGCCGTCATTAATACTGTCAGAGAAAATTAGTGTTGATTGTTCTAACAACTCATTATATGCTGTTACAGGTAAATCGAACATAGTTATTTCTTTTTCAACAATATACATATAATTATTTCGAATCCAAACTGTTTTTATTTACTGTTACAATACCAGCATATTGTGTTTGACTATCAAAATTGTTCAATATTAAATTTGCATCAAAACAATATTATGATTCACAGGAATCACCCTTAATATGTAGTCTACTCCTTCAATTTAGTGATAACATATATATGAGTGAATTGCAACCTTCTGGTACATTTTGCGTTTTAGCTGTATTTGTCTAATAACGTTTTTTCCTCTCAGCCGATTTTGATAGTTTTTTTCATCAGTTATTGATCCTAGTATGTCCCGCTGGCACACAAAATTTCAGCTCTCTAACTCATACAGTCGCTGAGTTATAAGGAAAACAGGACAACTAAATATTAGTCTTTACTGACACATGAGAAGAAAAATGAATTTTTGGACTATAGAACAGCAAGAGAAAAAACATTTAAATAGGCTATTTTGTACAGCGTTCAATGCTCTATCGAAATATATTATGGATTTAAATTTTATACGTCATTCTCTTGTTCGTCCAACGTTCACATTATTTGACAGACACTTTGTATTTTTGTGTAGAATGACACAAACGTGATTACACTTCGACCAGTGATAAAGCAGATGACGCAGAGATTATACGAAAGGCAAGACAACTCTTTGAGTAAGAAAATGGTAAGAAAAAAAATCTGTGTTGTCACCTTTGTTTATCGATAAGAATAAGAAGACTTTCTGAAAAAAATGCCATTATACTTACTTTGTAGAATGACAATTTGAAAATTGAATGCTTTATAACTCCTCAACGATTCGTGCGATTAGACTTAAATTTTTACTCAAGATATAAACTAACAAGGTCTATCAATGATAAAAATTTCAGTCCTCAGTCATCTTCTTTTCTGGGGAAATTTAGATTATACTGAAAAAAGTGAGTAAAATGACAATTTCAGAGCTCTATAACTCGCCAACGATTCGTGCGGTTAAGCTTAAATTTTTACTCAATATACAAAGGGGCAAGGTCTATTAGTGATAAAAATTTCAGCCCTCAGCCATCTTTTTTTCTGGAGAAATTTACATTATACTGAGAAATGTAGAATGACAATTCTTCGCGAATATTTTCAGTACGGCTCATTCAAAATTTTTTTTTCGACGTAGTTAAGTGGGAAGCGATCATAAAGTATCATTTGGGAAAAAGATGATGACCTTAAAAGCGAAAATGTTCAAGATATGGACGGTTCTTTGGAAAAAATTTATTCAGCATAAATATAAAAAAGCGCACTATTCTCTAGCGTCCATTTTTATTCAAAAATTCGTACCTAGCACGAATTAGGACATGATCACAGATAGAATCGTCAACATGGTTCTCCATAAAAAATGAAATTTTTTTTTTCGAAATTGCTGCGCTTCCCCTCCAGGGTTGCAGTGGATTAAAAAACATTTTGCATTTTTCGTGACAACTACATCGACCATTCCATCTATGATCATGTACTAATTTCTACTATATATAAATTTTAAATTTTCAAAATGTGGTTGTTTTGGCATGGAATCCCTCACAAGTAGAAAAAGTCATACATTTATGAAAGGGCCATATCTCCGTTAATAATCGATCAAGTGTTGGGAAATGTTTTTTGTGTACTACTGGCATAGATTGTGATAAAATGCACTACTCAAAAACTCTATAGGTTCACTTTCATCTGTTCGCGTGAATTGTACCAAAAAGTTGCAATTCATTCATATATAGGTGAAGGTCGATTGCTATGCAGTCTGAAGACTATTTTAGTATTTCAATATTTTGTTTTTGAGCGCTCTCGTTTTTGACATATCTAACTGGGTTGGATTCAGATAGAATGGTCTTTCTGCTCCAGTGCCTGTCTGTCACCTTCGTTCGTATCTGTGGCAGGTGTGCTTGAAGTCCTTTAAAATTATAATATTTGAGTATTTTGTCGGTTTTTAGACTTTCCAGAGATGGACGTTTAATTTATTGCTTTTTATGGCGTCGGCTTGTTTTTTATCAGATGTTTTTTGAACTCTTGACAATTAAATTAATTTAAATCAGCTCAGTAGTGCTTTCGTCTACCTAGTTATCGTGAATTGTCGCGAAGGAATATCTCAGCTAAATAATATCTTCCAATTTGAAGACACAATTCAATAGTTTATCGTGGTCTCTACTCAACTATTGCTTTCAGCAGTGGGTTGTGAGTTGTGCAAATTCTTACGCGGCATTTTGTATCCAGTTTGCTTGTTTTCACATTGCTGTTAAATCTGTACTCCTTAAAACTGCTTTAAGAATGACTATCATGTCCAATTTAGTCCAATGTTTTGAAGAGAGTCAAAATCTTTATCAATGCTTGTATGAAATTGTAAATTTTTCCTAATATTCCATGCATTTGAACATTAAATATACAATTGTATTCTAGAGATTCTTTTGAGAAAGCTATCCAATTTGTTGATTGTAAGGTATTAAAGTCATGTAGTTATCAGGAATATGTTTTCGAATAGATCCTATCGTTTCCGGTTGCGGCACTAAACCGCCTGAAAGAAAATAAAACGGTCAGATCTGGACGTTGCAACCGAATCGGAAACGGAAGGAATATAGTTGGGATCCTGCTCCCGTGAAAAGGCGTCGGAACCCTTCTCAGGAACCTTACCGGAAACGGCAACGGGATCCTGACATTTTATCCGGTTGCAGGAATCAGCAGGGAAGAAGCCGGAAACGGTAGCCGTAACCGGTCCCGGAACGCTGCTTCCATGTTTTTGCCGGATTTTCACCGGAACCAACAGTTTCCCGCCGTACGGTTTGAACCTGGATGTCAAGCATTTAGCAGCTAAGCTTCTAGCCATAGTCACGTATACCGTAAGTGAGAATATTACAGAATATAATTTAAATATTGTCTAAAGTCTTGATATAGAGAACGCCGCCACTCCAGAACACTATCGAAATTTGGCAGTCCTATACACTAGTGCTACAATCAACAGGTAATTGCGGTGTAAATAAGTGCACTCCGACGCACAGTATATTGAACAAGCTAGCAAAACCGTCACTAACTCTAGCTATTGGTATGGAAACAGCACACACTATTTGTCAACTACACTTGAACAATTATCTGACAAAATCACGTCACTCACCTATTCAACGTAGTGCTTCCTTCAATTGAACAATAACGTGCATTTTGAAAGAGTGCGTGTCTGATATTATAATGAGTTGTGAACCAGCAGTAAGATGCTTGTACTTAAAATTTCTTCGCACAAAATGCTTTCGTCTCCCTAGACAGCAGCGAAACCCTCCAACCATTCGTAATCGAAGATCTAATAGAGGGTGCTACAGATAACGACACTATCGAAGCTAAGTTCAACAGTGGATCGGTTCAATCAACGCAGAGCTTTCACACTGGCAGTATGCGGGCATTGGTTCAAGCGCTCAACCGATTTCCACGTCTTTATTCACGTATATATATTTACATAAATTATTCATGCCTTATTATGATCAATGAATCTTTTTTTCTTTAGACTTTTATGCAAACGTGAACGAAATAAACATCGATTGAAAGGGACAAGAGGATATTGAGCAGTCGGTTGAATTTGATTTAGGATTAATTTATCTTTAGATGAGCAAGTATTCTTTTTCTACAACAGATATGAATTCCGTTATTTTTGTTCTTTGAAGTTGAGAAGATAGAGGCATTGTATATACGTGTATTATCGAATAAAGTCTCGATGCACGTTCGGTGTAGAAGACGAATCAGCTAGCGTTTCATATATGCATAGAATAGGGATTTGTGGCTTTTCAAGAAACTAACTAACAGAGGATTCACATGACATAATCAAATTTCAAGTTTAATTCTAACTACTTATCATTCGACTCAGAATAAAAAACTGAATTATTTGTTATTGAATTCATCCAACTTTGAAACTAGTCAGCGTTGTTTAGGTCTGGAAGATCCATCTGATAAAAACATATACTATTGATAACCGTTTCTTGGCAATATCTCTACCATTCGATTTTATTGAAGCATAATGAGCATTTAATTACTTTCATATTACATAAAATAAAGTACGGTAACTAGCAATGATGAAATATCAGAAGGCTTGTATAGCTACTATTGATTTATGGGATCGATTAGATTTTCATTTGGGACCCCATGTTAAATCTCCATTAGAATTACGTTATGCTAGTTCAAAAAGTTCAATTATTGAACGAGCACTACGCCAAGCTGTGATTGATTTACTTGATGATATAACAGTAGAACTTCAAGAATACATAGAAAATGAAACAGCTGTCATTAGTACTCAACATCGTATATTTCATTCACGTATAATCATAAATTAAAAATTCAAGAAGATACTAATATTCAAAGTACAGAAATCGATGATGAGATCGATTCATTAGCACCAACTGTCTTTTCTCAATTACGTGAAGATATTGATATATCAAATAAACAATTTCGTCAATGATTTTTTTAACATCATTTAAAAGATTTTACAAATCCAGATAAAAGTGGCTCATTAATGTATAAAGCGTATGATGAGATATTTGTTTCAAAAAAAAACCTCTGCGTGAATATGAAGCACGTTTATTAATGAAAATTTTATCCGGATATCATTTACAGCTAAAACAACATTTAACATTATTTAATCGTTACATTGGATTATATTCTATACGTTTAAAAGGTGTTCTATCAACCATTGAACTTGTTGCTATTATTATGATTAATGCATTTACACCAACATTAAAAATTCTATCAATTAAAAGACATAGATTTTAAAAGGTTTATACCCAGCTGATATACGTAAGCCAACAAATATTTATCAAAAATTAAAGGCTATTACAGCTAATGATACAAAAGTTTTAAAAAGCTCAATGTAACAGATTTTTCACTAATACTTGGCATCGAAATATGTTTCAAATGCTCCATTGCCATCAAGTGCTAAAACTGATGTGACATCTTTCCCGATTTCATATTTAAAACCATTAGAAATGCTTCGAGAAAATATCGATATGAATTTATATTATAATCATGATTCTATTGCTCGCGAACATTTGATAGTTTCAAACATATGGATCGAACATACAGAAAAATTATTGATCGCAGTAGACATCCTTTTTGTGTACTCAAAAAAGTGAGAACACTCTAGAATCGATCAGTGTGTCCGTCCGGCCGTCCGTTTACACGATAATTCTCGAAAGAAGAGTTAGATCATGATGAAATTTTCTACACAGTTCAGCCTCATTAATGTCTCAGTCGAGTTCGAAGATGAGAAGGATCCGTCAAGAAATGGTTGAGTTATCGAAAAAATTGTCATTATTGACCAATCCAACCCTGAGGGAGGGTACAGGGATTTTTCAAAAAAAATATGTTTCTTAGAATTATTCACAACACATATAAATCGACTCAGTTTTTAACGCTGATTCCTAATCTGATATTAGTTTTGAACCAAATCGTAGCTTTCTAACAAAATATCACCTAAAAAGGGTCTCAAAATGCACAAAAACTGCATCCAGAAACCAAATTGGCTAGATATATTTCAGATGACCAGTAGTTTTGGGGTTTCTCAAATGCCTGCTTTTGTAGCTAGTCAAAAGGACTATCGAAAGATAAAAACCCGAACTCGATAGCTATTAATATAGGTGATTTATTAGGAGAATACTGATCCCTGTATCTATCATATATCTCTTATAGATTCATGAGGTTCCTTACGATCGTAATCCCGCTAGATACAAGCGCAAATCCATTCAAAAATAACTCTTCTTACCCAATTTTCCAAGCTAAACACGAATCTGAACTTAATTTCTGTGATTTCTAAAGATATTATATCACTCTAAGTGTAGAGTCAGTGGTCACCGGATATGGTCGCATACAGTGTGGTTCATGCTAACTTAGCACGTCTGTATTTTCTCCTTGCAATTTAGTGACAAGGGATTATCTTGATGAGATCTATGTCTTATAGAAAAAAAAAGTGAATATATCTTTTCACCTTTTGAAGTACAAATAACACTCGGATTTAAATCCGAGGTTTTCGCATTTATTTTTAATTACAGACTACACGAAAAAAGCGATGCTTGCCCATTACAGGCCATAGAAACTAGTTTCTGCCACTGTTAAATATAAGAGCTAACAATTAATATTCCATTACAGACATAAGCAAATAGACAATGACCTAATTATAGGTTTTGGAAATCAAGGTAGATTTTTCAGACGAACTATTTTGAATTATTTTAGTACGTCTAAGGGATATATGTGAGTTTCACATTTTAGCCCCAAAGGGGCTGTGCTAACAAGGTTTTATTTTCATATAAAAAGAATATTTATACGACTTTCAATAAATTAACAGTCGTAGAAGTTCGAATAATCTTACGCAAAAAAACGAGTTATTCCTTGTTGCAATGAAATAATTCATCGAGATTGACAATCAAGTATGTTTCTTTCTTTTTCATTATTATGAAAATAATACTTGTCGTGAATCTCGAAGAGAAAATAAAAACAAACAAAAATTAACCTTCACATAAATTCAAGCAACAACCTTCACTTATGCAACTCACTATGTGCCAGTCTATATCCGATTTATTCTATGCTGTGTGATTAGTCAGCCGGAATGATTTATCTGATTCGATAGTAAACTCATTGCACTGGTTTATGACAAGTGAATTTATTTAAAAATTTGCGCATAAATCGATTATAAATTGGCGTTGGGTGTCAAAAAAAAGAAAGAAAGAATTTATAAAGAGTGAAACCATCTCTTCTTTCGTTTCGATCTATTATTAAAATCAACATTGTTTCAACTGAAAATGCATTTGTAATTCATTTCGACGATTAAATAGAACAAACAGTATTCCTTACCAATATTTTTCTTTAAATAAACTTGACGATTGTTGCCTCAAACAAATAGCATCATAAGCCGTTCGTGTTAATTGATTTCAAGCATATAAGTCAGACATTTTGTTGACGCAGTTTGGGTGTGATAGTAAAACAGAGAAAAGAAAACGCACGCACACACGCAAAATAACGACTGACATAGACATACTTCAATGCAGATTGCAACACTTAATTATCCACCCAATCCGAAGGAAAACTTGCATAGTGATTCAAGATCGGCATTTCATCATCGGCAAGTTCTCACTATTGTAACAAATGTAGAGAAAAAACAAAAGCAACGACGATCTTTTTTATCGGATCTTACTGCCAACTCTAATAAGCGCTTACCACCGATGAAAACAAATTCAAATAGGCCTAGTTCAATACGTATTAAAGGAAATGGATTTACAGCACCAAAGCTTCACGATAAATCGATGACTTCATATAATCAACCATGCCGTACGCAGAGTAGACTATCGGAGAAAAATGATGCCATAGGAACAAGAAGTAGATCCGTATGTATTTTGTTCTCCCCACTGATTTTCCTCTTCAAGTTTTGACATAAAATTAGGTTACTCCAACAGGAACAATGAGATCACCATCGAAATTATTAAGTCTTAAATTTGGCTATCCTGTTAAATTGCGTTCATCGGATTTTTACGCGCCGAGTTTAACCGAATCTGAATTACGTCTTCGTGAAGTATCGTTTGTTAGTGATTCAATTCGTTCGGCACATCATGCAGTTATTCCACCTTATGAACCACTGCTAGATCCTAATTTGAAAGATTTTTTTCAATCATCACTAGTATTAGATGTTGTACGTAAAACTCTAAACATGGATCTCAGTGAAAGAGCCTCTGAAGTAAAGAAACAATCAAAAACGGTAATGAAAATCGTTTGCAAACAAAATCTAAACAGAATTCTTTTTTTTAGAATGATCGTGATGATGATTATCGTCGAATTGTAGCTAAGCATTCATCTGGATATGGAAAATTAAATGGCTATGATTGTATTCCACGCAACGCTCCGCCTCGTCATTATCGTTCTATGACACATGCCAAATTTCGGTCACCATCAAATTCATCAATCACAAGTTTTCCAACGTGTAGTAGCATTCATTTTCAACCGAAAAAGAATTCTCGTCTGAGCTATAAATCAAAGCACTTAGCACCACTTGCTACATTATCTTCATTAAGTTATCCAACAGAGACAACCAGTGATACCGCACCGGTTTCTAATGTATCTCAGGAATGAGATACAAAAATTAATGTTGCACTTGAAATGAACATAACCGGAATTGTTTATAATAAATAAATTTAAATTAAAAAAAAAATTATTTTTTGCTGTAATACACTACGCCGTGTTAATCGTTTGTGGTAGATATGCAAAGAGAGAGAGATAATATTACTTCGCTTATACATTCGAGGAAAAAAAGGCATCTATTCATTCTTCCCCAATTAAATATTACTATAATTTTATTAATATAAAAAGAGATTTCACAAAGTAGAATATTTGAGTATTCAAGAAATATCCCCACACTAAGTTACAGCTAAATCACAGGTTAACAAAAAAATATCGTTCTAAAGATCAGATTTCGGTTCATTCGTTAATTTGTCATTCTCAATACCCCAGAAATCAGTTGATTTCTCGCGTATATCTCGTTGTCGTTTAGCAAATGCTGAAAATGTCGATGGGCAATTCACGATGGCATGTTCTGCTATACTTAATATATACAAATCGATATGTGCTGCTTCGCCGAGACTTTGATTTTCCGGTCGTTCATATTTGATTATTTTCACATTGTATTTTTTACCAAGAAGTTTTCGAAATTCATCAATCATAGGATTTCCATCAGCAGCAACGTATACAACAGTTGGTTTTATTCTTTCAACCATGTTTTCAGTTTGTATTAAAATATTATCTTCGGATGGATAACAAATTTCATTTGTTAATTTAATCCCTTTTTCAAGCTTATGACCAAGACATTGAGCCGATGCAAAAAAATTCGAATTTTCAGTTGTATAGGTACAGGCACGTTCCTAAAAACAAATCCGAAGTTATTGTTTCTTCTATTATTTTAAATTGTATGAAAAAACTTACAAAATCAATTCCATTTCTGATATGTAGAGCCAATAATGTATCTGGCGATATTTGATTTTTGCTTAAAAATTCGTCTACTTGTTTTCGAATATACTCCGTATAAATGAAATATTTGGCTATTGGAATATTACGTTCTTCAGCTAAAGAAGAAATTAAAACACGTACTCAAAAAATAAATTTTACAAAAACTAAAACTTTCCTGGGAAACTTCCCGGTGGTCCACTAAATGCAAGAACAGGATATTCACTGGATGGAAATCTAAAATTGAATAATCGACATCAAACTTAACAAGATTAGCGCTTTAAAAACAAAAATACTTTGCGTTCCAACGATCCGCAATCGAAATATCATAAAAAAGTGGTCGATAAAAAACATCACCATCAAAATCAATATCAAAATGTGACCAAAATGGCCCAAATGGATTGCCATCTTTTGCATTGCAACTTCGCTTATCACTATTTTCTTTTGCTTGAGCATCATAACAGAATACTTAAAAAACAAAAATACCAATAGTTCGAAGAAAACAATCTTTTTTGTTTTCGAAATACCATATCGTTTTCCTTTTGGCCATATACTATCAGCTATATGAATCATAAAATCTTTCATTAAAATAACTTTCAAATAATCTTGTAATGGTTCAACTTGAAAATATGTATCAAACGGAACTTGTTTCTATAAAAAAGAACACCAAATAGATTTACTAATAAATATTAAGAAAAGCTTTTACTGAAGTAAAACTTCGTGGTGGATATTCAATCCAATGAGGAAGCACAAGTGTTCGATTTAGTGTTCGTGTAAATGAAATAGCACCAAGAAATTGTTCTGCTTGATTACCAAATCGACCTTAACACAAAATATTCAATAAAAATAATTCGCTCTATGGCATTTCTGAGCTCGATCGTAAATTCAAAGCTGAAAGATCACAGCTTACCCATGCAAGGACAAAACATAACATAACCATTTGGATCAACTTCATACTGTGCAAAGCAATAAATAATCAAATTAAATAATAACAATAATATTTTCGGAATCATAGTTAAATAAATATTAAAATCTGAAACTGATCATGACATATAAACCAATCGAATTCTTTATTCTCTCTTCATTATTATCATAGCCTATAATACAAAAAACATAAAATCGATTAAATCATCGAAATATGTAAATCATCTTACCCGAAACTTGTCTCAATCAATAATAAATCCCAATTGCGTCTATCAACTTTAAAATTATTAATCTTTTTCGCAGTTATCATATATACGCTGATTTTTATTAACCGTAGTAATAGTAATACGAGAAACAAAACAAATATGGACCATCATTTTAGTTGGTATAGCGATGACGATGTCAATGAAAAATGAGTATTTATATATATTGTCTCGTAATACGTTGGCAAATAGAAAAAGACAGACAAAAAAGAAGTAGAGACAAAGAGAATGACAGATAGAGAGAGAGAGAGAGAGAGACAGCGAAGAATCCATCCGTTGGTAGAGACACGCACGCACACACAATAGATACACTAAGTTGATAATGATTGCTTCTTGTTTAATTATAATGTAAATAATTAAATAGCATTCATTTCAATTGAATCATTTTCAATTTTTGTTTGAGCCATATATTTATCAAGTTCAGTATCAAGACTTTCTTTTGTTAGATTTTTATTGTTGTTGTTGTTGTTATTATTCATTCGACCACGTCCACCACGATTAGAACTATTTCCAAAACGGCCACGATTATTTGGTCTAATTTAATCAATAGTTAAACTTCATTGAAATCAAAAAAATCTATATTTACCGATTAAAATTATTATTGTTTCCATTGCGTCGTCCTCCACCTCTGTTTGCTCCTCTTCCTGCTACTCCTCCTCGTCCACGATTATTCATATTGCCACGTCTTGAAAAACCACCATATCGACTAATTGTATTATTATTTAAATAACCACGTGTTCGAGGACGAAATGTTCTTGCTAATAATCCAACGAAATTATTGGTTATAACATGCAAAAAAAAAATCTAATGGTCACATACTTCCACGAATACGACCTTGCCCTCGAAGGCGTACACCCATACCAGTTTGTCCACCGAATAAATATCGATTAGCACCTGCGTCATTACGTCGACGATTACCAAAACTAAGTCGTTGAAACACACGGGATTTGTTCGAAGCTGTATATGAACGATTTACATTGGGATTAGCACCCATACCAAGACGATAATTAATACTTCGCTGAAATAGAAATAATGATCATGTGACATAAGTCCAAACAAAAGCTTGATTCCTATGTAAATTTTCAGATCCATATGTCATAGAGTTAAATTTGATCGTCAATATTTTTCTTTCACTTGACTTTCTGATTTAATGAAATCCGATATAATATCTCTGTTTTATTAGCAATCCATTAAATAGGGATAACCGACCTTTTTGAGTCTTTGTGCAGCAAGAAATACATTGGGTCGTCGATTTCCAAATAGTTCTTGTCTTGAATATGGAATAATGACATTCGCTTGCTGTTGAATGCGTGGTGTAGCTACTGGTGCTTGTTTAGCGATTTCAGTGAATCTATGTTAAAATGATTGATTCGAATGAATCAAAAACTATTAATAATATATTACCGCTTATCAAGTGATAATTTGGTACCAGATTTTAAAATAATTTTTCCGGAAATCATTTTGACTTTTATTGCGTTGAATGAATGAATGAATGAATGCAAACAATGAAAATGAATGTAATTTGTAATTATATTCGAATTCACACACGACACGACTGGGAAATAAACAATAAGTATACAATGATTGGCTAAAATTAAAATTCATCGTTTTTGTAAAATACAACTAAACATTTAGATGCATATTAATTTTTTTGTTTTATTTTTCATATAAAAATTATCTTTTTTTGCAAATTTTTCGTGGAGGTATTTCCGAATGGTTTTTCATTGGTCGAATTAGTTGACTAATCAAAATCAAGCATTTTGTCATTGCTAAATACAGGCACATAGCAAAGCAGTTTCTTTATTACCAGACAGCGTGAAAAGTTCAATCTTTTTCTTGTAATAAAAAAGTCAACATGGATTTTCAACATCGTGCTGGTGGTAAAACTGGTATGGGTGGTGTTGCCAGTGCATCGGAGTCGAATCGCGATCGACGTGAACGACTACGTCAATTGGCTCTTGAAACAATTAATCTTGCCAAAGATCCTTATTTTATGAAAAATCATTTGGGAACATATGAATGTAAACTTTGTTTAACACTACACAATAATGAAGGCTCTTACTTGGCTCATACACAAGGAAAAAAGCATCAATCGAATTTGTAAGTATTTTAATTTTTTCTTTATTTTTAATTTATCACAACATTTTCTATTCTAGAGCGCGTCGTGCTGCTCGTGAAAATCAGCAATCATCTGATATAATTCAACCAATGAAACCACATTATGAAGTTCGTAAATTTATTAAAATTGGTCGACCTGGCTACAAAGGTAAATTTAATTCAATGAATTTTGTCATATACTAATTTTCATTTGTTTTAGTTACAAAACAACGTGATCCAGGTAAACATTTTCTCTGTTCCAGTTGACACACTATCGTTAAATAAACTAATTTTGATTATATTCAGATACGAAACAACAGTCACTTTTATTTCAAATTGACTATCCGGAAATATCAGATAATATTGTACCTAAACATCGTTTTATGTCTGGCTTCGAACAACACGTTGAAGCACCGGATCGTCGTTGGCAATATTTACTTTTTGCTGCCGAACCTTATGAAACTATCTCGTTTAAAGTAACCTTGCTTTTATATTTAACGTATTAAAATTCTATATTGTTTGTTTAAGATTCCAAGTCGTGAAGTTGATAAATCAGAAGGCAAATTTTGGACATATTATAATACAGAAACAAAACAGGTTCGTTTGTTTCGTAAAATTTTCTTGTCTATCGTTTTTTTCGTCAATAGTTTTTCCTTCAATTCGCATTCAAACTCGAATCAAATAAATACTCAGGTGACCATTCATCGTCAAGTTCACGATCCTATGGTCCAGCTCCACCTGCACCACCTGGCTCATTACGTAGTTGAATCATTTATACTGTTTGTTTCTCTTGCTCTGTATCAAAAAGCTAAAAATAAAACTTTTTGTTTGTCTTGTATTGAATGTATCAGAAATAGAACTGTTTTGGATGATTGCGATTTTTACATATGATCCATGTCATTTCGAGTTCATAGGTAGCTATCAATCATGCACTAGATTATATGGTAAGCTCAAGGTAAAGTAAACCCCTAAGCAGACAGGAATGATATCATTATTAACAAGTGACTTTAGCCTTTTCTCGTGAACAAATATTAGCCGCTGATATTTCTATATGTAAAGAGAATGATGAGAAGAACAACAAAAAAGCAAGAAGAAGAAGAAGAATGATTGTTTGTGACTTGTGTTTGATATTTTATTCTACTCTTTTGTAAATCAAAAAAAAAGAAAAATTGTGAACAGATGTTGGCATTGAATAAAAATTGTGTTTTTCTCTTTAAAAAGAAAAAAAAAGAATCACATATATATATATATATATATAGCATATGAATCAGTAAAGCATTAGTTGTGAAGAATATTTGGAAGCCACAAGTGACAGTGAAATTTGAAGCATGGTAAGTGAAGGATAGATTTTCATCGAGTCAGTAATCAAATAGTTATTTACCTTTGATAAAAATTTAACAGTCCTCTTTGTGCAACTTTGTTTCTATAAAAAATACACGCACACCACTCAAGAGATAGATTTATCAGGTGACCTATTCTTTCGATATCTGAAAATGTATCAAACCAAGTTATTATGATATCTGTTCTATTTTTGTATTGAATCTATAGTCAATGACGGCATTATTGATCGTGATAATTATTCTCGATACATAAAGCAATCCCGATCAACTATCAATAATGTCATGTACTAAAAAACACGAATGGTGTTCGTCCTCGATTCCCACCACATTGTGTCCCTCAAATGCTGACAAATCGACACAACCTTGCCCTCTTCCATCGTCGGTTTGTGCCTCAACATTATTGATCACTAGCAGAAACAGTCATAGTGTTCCTATCAATACTGATATCATATCGTCAGCATTCGACTCAAAAGAAGAGAGCCAACTAACAACATATGTGCTATCGTCTTCATTAGACCATTCGCAAGACTATTATACAAGGAAACGCATTGAACAATTGCATAAAAGAATGGATGATATACAAATATCGAGTTTTTTAAAATTTATCAACTATCATTTATCATCGAAGAATGATCAAAAGCTCGTTAAAGATCTTTCACAAGATTTAGCCAATGGACATGTATTAATTGATTTAATTGAAATATTTTCATCGACGAAATTAAAACGAGAACATGGTCATACACGTTTTCATTCATTAACAAATGTTCAATATGTCTTGGACTATTTAAAATTGCATATGCAACATATAAACATATCTCCGCATGATATTGTTTCAGGAAATCGTAAACAAATTTTAGCATTGCTTTGGATAATTATGAAAATATTCGATTTCCCATCATTTCATATAGCAACAAATAAACATATTTATAATGAAAATACAATATTTTCCTATGGACAACATCGTAGTGATCTACTCAAATGGACAAATAGATTATTAAATAAAATTTTAAATTCAAAATTAATCTATATTAAAGATTTTTATTTAAAAACATGGATTGATAGTTCATATTTATCGTTGATCATTAAATATCTTTGTCCGTTCAGTTTAAAATATGGAACAACAGAATATTTCGATTATTTAAAACAACTAGAGGAATTAAATCCTATTAATAAACAACAGCATTTTGAATTATGTTTAAGCCTATCGAATTATTGTTTTAATACAAATTCAATTAATGATTTTGGTGATCGAACGGAAAAAAGCCTATTGAGATTTTTTTCTGATTTAAAACAAAATATTTTGTTTATTCTAAAATCTAATCATATTGGAAAATTAACAAAAACGAATCCTTATACCAAACAATTATATGATACTGTTTTAGAAACAACAAATATAGGTACGAGCTTTTTTCTTCTTCTTTCCGTCTATTAACGAACGTTCACGATTATCATTGATTAGAACATTCACAAACAATAAATGAAGATGATGACTATTTAATTTATGATGAAGATAAACAACAAGAATCAATAAATCAATCAGAGATTTTTCAAAGGTAAAAATATCGAGAATACGATGACGTAAGGTGTGAATCCTAGTCGTAGGATGTCAATTTGTTATCGTTCATGCATTGTCTATTTTAATTTGTATATCAGAATAATAGGATTAGATGTTTTGACTTTTATCCATTAATAGATAGCCACAATGTTTATAAATGCTACTAGCAGATGGTCGATCAGTTCTTCGCAGACATTTATGGAGATGAGCGCGTATGATTGAACTCGCTTCTTTGCGGAACGTTCTATTGCGTATATTCTATCGTAGATAGAAAACAAAAGTTACTCGAGTATTTTTATTGGCATTGAAACAACCTTATCTTTTGTTCTTCTTACATAAGTTCAGAAAGTATGAAGACCTTGCCATTGTCTCCATATATTGTTTTGACAATCGATAAATTAATAAATCCGGAGTCTTATCATTTGCAAAAGCCTGGAAACATAGAAAAAAAAGAATCAGAGGTTATCTAATGAATATGTGCAGCATTGGCTATAAAGGCCAGGGCATATACAATGATTTTTTGTTCAGTTCGACTAATGATGCAGAAGACGATCGAGTTCGGACGCGAGAAGAAAATACAAATTTAACTGAACCAATCGAACAGTCAATAGATGAAATTAACAACACAGAGGAATCTGTTGTTCATGCAGAATCACCATCCTCTCCGATTGATCCAGCAAATGTTGTTCAAGAACAACAGCCCGCTTGTCAAAATCTAATCGAAGCTGTTGCATCTATTAATGAATCCATGTATGTTATGTTTGTTTTTTCAGATTGTTTGCTAAACTGATCATTTCTTTTGTTTTTTCATAGTGAAAATCTTCATAATCAAAGTTGTTTACGAACTCGTAAAATAAAAAAGAAAAAGTCGGCAATCTCCGTTGAAAAACTTGCAGCAACGTATGTTTCAACACCATCATCGAACGGCGATCTTTTCATTAAACTAATTGAATGCGTGCGCGATCCAAAATTAATTGCATTCAAATATATTCTGCTTCTTGCTTGCGTTTGTTTTTCAATACTTATTATTTTTATTCACAAGTGATAGTTATATCATCGTCGTATCTATTAGAATACAATCAACAGTGTATTGCTCTTTTTCTTTTCGTTTAGTTCGTTTTACTTTATTCAGTCTTCTTCTCTATTTTACGTGAATATTTGTTTGTGAATAGTTATTTGCTTGGTATAGAGATAAAAACCGCATCGGGATTTGAAAGAAAATGTTATATAGATTAGCCTTTTAGTGCAGCTGCTGATTATGACACTCATATGGTTATACTTGAGCGACGTTATGGATGAAAAATGGTTCATGAAGGATCCATTATATTCAGAAAGATATAAAATTATGTTTATGGTAATTGACCTTTTTCTGCACAGATATGGCATCGTGCTACGATTTCTCAATCGACGGCGTAACTAAATAAAAGCAAAACAATTTCTTTTTCTTGCTGAAAAAGTGTTTCGACAGAGAGGGAAAGATTAAATATGGGGATAGCACACTGAGTTTCTATGCTAACGTATTTGTATTGAATAACATTGTTAATTAGATCTCTTTTGTTTTTGTTTTTACTCTTAAAATTCCCGCTTGATAAATTACGCGCTTCTCTCAATATAAAATAAAAGCGTTTTATATGACAACATCTAAACTGAATACAAATCCAACGATCCTATCAAAACTTGAAACAACACCAAATCTGAATTCTTACAATCGTGATGTTGGTCAACAACGAATTTCGCCATCTAAACGAACAGCAATGATTAATAATTTGGATCCATTGATAGATAATAATAATACAACAGTTTTGCATCAATCAAAAACTTGTCATTCATCTCGGTCAACTAAACAAAAAGAAAAATGTGAAAATGCGAATATATCATTATCAAAACCTGAAAGTGTCAGCGAAGAAATGTATACAACTCCATTAAATAATGACGATACAAGAATATCTTCATCGATCAAACAAAAACAACAAGCGAGACAAGAGATGGGAGATTACATTCGGCGAGATCCCAACGAAGATGCAGATGAAGAATCGATGACTACTTATGCTATTATGAGAAAAAATAAAACGCCCAATGAACATATTCATTCATCATTAATATCATCAAACAATTCTGCTATGCATGTACAGCAGCAACAACAGCAAGGCATGGGCGATCATTATCATACTAGTACAAGACAACATAGAACGAGAAGTAAAACAACTGGATTATTAAATCGAAAATATCAGCGACTGATGATCGAACAGCAAGATCTTGATACATCATTGGATGAGAAAAATACATATCGTTGGCGCATATTTATATATATAATCCTCCTAGTTGTATTAGCTTTTATTGTTTATCGATTCTGTCTTGCCGTATGGCCTAAACGAAAAAAGACATTGATGGAACAATTCATTGATGATATATATAATTTTTTTACACCTTAAAAGAAAGTTGAACATCAAATAAAAATAAGGATATTCGAAATAAATTCATAATTGAGCAGATCAGCCGCATTATTCTAGAATATCAGAAAGTTCAACACAGTTATCTTTCTTTCACAGCAAAAAAAAAATATATACGTACAAATTCCTTGGCGCTTTATAATATAATGTCTTAAATAAAAAGAAAATATCAAAATCGAATGATAACCTAAATCATCATCATTTAAACTTTTTGTTCGTCACATCGATTCATGTTCTCCATCGGCAACTATGAATAAGTCGTCTCATATATCTACATTCGGAGAAAGTGAATCTCTATTTTTGACCGCAATCAAACGATTTTCAAACGAATATGAATATCGTGAAATTCCATTGGAGCAAATGCAAATGCTCAACGAGAAATTTTATCAACTCTGGATGCGACCACCACAACTAGATCGAAACAATGATGGTTATCTTGCAGTTGAATATCTTGAAAAATTATTATTCGATGATAAAATCAATGATCATTTTTTTATTTTAATTATAAATCTATTAGCTAAAAATCAAAATTTTTATCACACGCTTTTAAATGATCATCAACGATTTAAACAACTATTCAATTTATCGATACGAAAACCTGTCTACTTGACGCGGTTTGTTTTGGTTGCTGAATTATTTCCTTTTAATCGAAAAATATTTTGTTTTAGATATATTGAACTTCTGTATTATTATTGTCCATTGAACTTGATTGCTACTGTTGGCTTAGAATTCTATCGTTTTGTTATTAATACTTATTTTGTTAAATATCTACATCATCCACCCTACGATATCGATTGGCTTGCAGCATTTTCTATTTTACTTTATCAATTCTATGAAAATACAACGAAAAATCTCACGTCATCAGAATTTATTTTCACCAATCAAAAAGATGCTATTAATTATTCGCTCCATGTTATCGATACATTTCTTCATCATCAGCTGAAAATAAAACCTAATAAGGATTTGATTTATGATTTGAAATTGATCAGTATTATTATCAAAACGATTAATATTGTTTGGAAACAAGATCCATCCACGGACAAGTCATCAGACGATAAGTAAATTGTTTTTCAACGTCTCGCCAATGAAAAATATTTTATTATAGTCAAGATGGAATAACACATATTCAACTTCGATCAATTGAATATTTATTCAATGAAATGTCGAATGCAAAATCTCCGGATAAAAAAATGTTAAGTTCTACGATTCTCGCTCTTTTTTCTCTTATACAACTTGATGCTGCTGATATCACATTAAAAGCCATGTTTTTCGATGATCGTCTCAATGGTGAACGTCTTTCAATAATAATTAAATGCTTAATTGAATTGATTGATGCACCACTGCCATTGATTCAATCTATGCCCTACGAAACTTGGGTTACTGGTCTTTGTTCAGCTTTTACAACATTTAAACAACATGACTATCTAATAAAAGTCATTGACGAGACAACCGCCTTTCTTATCGGTCATCTATTCTATTCGGAAACCTATGATAATGCAATTCAGATTCTTTTTTGGTTTGTTCGTTACGATAAACGAATGCAAACATTTCGTATGATTCTTAATCGTTTACCGAATCTATTGGAACAATTATCAACAAATAATAATGATGATCTTAAAACGAAAATTATTGAACTATGTCATATGGGAGTTGCTATTCATCCGGAATATGATTTGTCGAATGAAATTATATTAAAACAAATTTTTCATAGTCTGCCACAGCCTGATTTAAATATTTTACTCAATCATAAAACTATTCATGAAAGATTTCATTCAATGACAATTGCAACGGATAATAAAATAAAGAATCGTGTCGGAATTATTAATTTGGGTAACACATGTTATGTTAATTCCGTATTGCAAGCTTTATATCAATGCGATTTATTTCGAAAATATATTCTCGAACATCGTTTTGAACAACAGACAGTATTGAGAGAACTACAAATTAGTTTTGCTCAGCTTAATCTATCGAAAAGACCTTATATCAGTGCAGCTAATCTTGTAAATTTACTTTCGTTTCGAATTCTCAAAGATAGAAAAATTAATTCTCTAGGTACAAATTGCACGACCCAGTTGGTTTGCCATCAATGAACAACAGGATTGTGCTGAATTTCTTGGTTTGTGTTTTTTTTTCATAGTAATTGAATGTATCTCCTTTTTTTTTATTAGGTTACTTACTTGATACAATAAAAGATGAAGAAAAAAAATCACCACCGCCATCGGAAATCGAACAACTTTTTACTATTCGTACTTGTCAAATAAATCGATGCCAACGTTGTTCCATTGAATCCTATCGTGAAGAAACAAGTAATTATTTATTTCTTCCAATTCCAACATTCGACACTCAAAATGAACATTTAAATTACAACCAATCAGCCATACCGGTGTCAGTCATCAAAAATGGCTTAAAATTTTATGCAGCATCAAATACAAATTCAGCATCAGAAGATCAAGCAAGATCGATTGCTGCATCGCTTGTTCAATCGAATCTAATAAGTCGATCTTCACCACTACCCACTACGAATGTGATCAGTCCAAAAGAAAATTTATCAAATCTTCAATATGTTTTTGATTATTATTTTCAAAAAGAAGAATTAAAAGATGATAATCAGTATCGATGTGAACATTGTCGGTGAGTTTTTATTTTAAAATTTGATAATAGAAAAGTCAAAGATTAAAATAGATCTTTACAAAATGCTGAACGATATACTATTCTTCAAACAGCACCGGAATATTTAATTTTATCGTTGAATCGTTTTGAATATGATAAAAAAACAAATATATTTCGTAAGGTTTTTACAAAAATAAATTATCCAAAAGTACTCAATGTTCCTATTAATCGATCACCAAAATCACGGAATCATTCGATTTCAATTAAATATTGTCTTGTTCTTATTATTGTTCATACAGGTTATACACTTCATGGTGGCCATTACTATGTATACGCTAGAGAAATTAAACCATTATTATCAAAAGTAAATAATCATGATCAAGAAGATTATTTTTCAAATGATGAATGGTTTTTGTTAAATGATGATCAAGTACAAATGTCGTCATACGAAGCTATGATTGAGAATTGTGCTCAATACACATCAGCTACACCTTACATTCTCGTCTATAAACGTATTGATAAACAACGTCTTGAAGAAATGGATAAAATAAAACATGTACATGTTCATGAAAGCCTTACTCAACAGATCCATGCAGATAATATGACTTATGCATGTGAATCAGAAAATCAGTCAACATGAGCATCTGTTTATTTTATTTGATATCATACGTTAAAGAAAATCAATTGAAATGTTCTCATAAGATTTCACATTGGATAGGAATTCGTTTTTATTGAGTGCTGTTCAGCTAAAAATTTTGTTTTTCAGCAAAGTGTGGGTGTGGGTGTGGATGTATGTGGGGGTGTGGGTTTTTGACTGTTCCAGTCTGAGTGCTTGGGTGGGCGTGCGAGTGCGAGTGCTTGTCGACCTTGTGTTGTGTCACACCTACACTTCACGCCTCACATCCGCCCCCACATCCACATCCTCATCATTGTTGCGTCTGTTTCTTTCAACAGGGTTAACTCTCGCCTAATATCAGTCTTGGAAACAATGAGTCATGCGGGCGAACATGTCCAAGCACAGGTAGGTAAATTCTAGTTTCTCATATTTCTAGTTTGGTGTTCGTAGATGAAAACGTAACAAGGAGAATTCGTGACACTTGCGTCATTTATACTAACAGGTGAATCACACGTTTTTGTTGTGTTGATAAAATGATGCACTGAGTCACATTACTTAACAGTGGGAAAGAACCATTTTATACTTTGCATATCAAAAGGCTTGTCCCCGTATGATTTGTCCCCGTATGATTTGTCCTTCAGAAGTCTTCGATAATAAGCGCATGGCAGAAAGTCTTATCTCGCAAGGCTTTAATGGGAAAAACCGAATTTATTACTACTTAATAGAAGGTTTTGGCCATGCTGACTGTCAAACGCTTGTTACCTTTTAAAACTACAGATCTATTGACATTCACTCTCTTATTTCAAGCATTACAAGATGTCACTCCGTGAGACAGTCAATAGTGTTGATACAAACGCGAAGCGCCAAGCATGTATGGAGCTAATCAACGAAGATTACAACAAATTAGGGCAATACAAAATGGGAGAAGTACAAAGCAGAAATATAATGATCATCGGACGAACGCGTACGGGTAAATCAACCATCAAATTATTGCTGATGGATCCTAGAAATGTGCCTGATGAAATGACACTTAAATCAGGAACTAAGGACCCTCAATTCCAAACATTTCATATACAACAACAGGAGGTTGTGCTTAACATTATTGATACACCCGGCTTGTTCGAACGTAGTAATGTAGAAAGTGACATACGTCCTGATGAAGCAATTTTGAAGGGAATTCAATTATGTGCTAATATGGAAATTACTAAATTTCATGCTATTTGTTTTTGTGTAGCCCTTACGAGTGGCATCAATGCTCAAGACGTTGAAGCTATCGAAAAATTAATCGCATTTCTCGGGGATGAGATAATGAACAATTCCTGTTTGGTTATAACACACTGTGAGTCTAAAGATGAAGAACAACGCAATAGGTTGAAATTGGAATTGGAGCAAGATACATTCTTCAAAAAGATAAATCCATTTTTCAAATTGGGCGTTTACTTTTCGGGCTCACTCAATAGCGATGACTACAAACACGGTAACGAAAGTCTTAAAAACCAATACCTGACTATCAGTGATTACCGTAAAAAGTTACTCGATCTGTTTATCAAAATTGAAAAGCCGTTTCCAATCAGTGAGATGATAATCAGTCAAATACGACAAGCTAACGATTCGGTAGAGCAGAAAACGGTCCAACTTGAGGATGAGAAACAAAAGAATGATGAACTTCAGAGCAGAATAAAAGAGTTACAAGAAAAATATTTAAAGGAAAAATGTCTCGCCGATGACTTACGAGTAAAATATGAGCAACAGGAACGTTTAGTTACCGATTCACGAGTCACACATGGACAGAGAGAAGGCCAATTAAAAAATTTACAAGAAAAACTACAACAGAAAGATAACATCATTAAACGCCGCGAAAAATGCCAAGCGCAACTAGGCAACGATCTGAAAAAAATAATTGAGATGGAAGAACATCAAACTAAAAAGCTAGAAGACAACTGTGCGAAACTGGAACATTATAACTACGAGCTAAACCAAAAGTTCACATCATTGAATTCCCAGTGCTATACTCATCCAGTCCAATCTTATTCAGTTCAACCTTATTCAGTTCGGCCTTATTCAGTTCAACCTACAATACAGGACGTACGAGAAATATTAGAGAAGCAACAACGTTTCATCAAAGCTTTTAAAGAAATTCATGCAGCACAAGACTGCTTAACCAAAACCCTACGGGAAATAATTGTAGAGCTCTCGTCGGTTATCGAAAACTCATAATAGCGAAACAGCAATGGAACAGCCCATCTGTGAACCATTGAACTAATATTTGCTCTAACTATTGATTTGAAATATTGTTCAAATTCTTCTATAATTATCTGTACATCATTTATCCTCTCCACAATTTTTGTGACTTACGCTGCACACTTCACTTGTCCGTTCCGTTTTCATGGTCATTACATACATCTTTTTTGTGCTACTAAGATTTTAGTCTTCGCTTTTTGCTTATCTGTTTCGGTCTCGTAACCAAGAATATTGGGAAATATATGTTTCACGTCTATGATAATTCAGTTATCTCGCTATATCTTGTGGGTGAGTTTTATATAGAAGTTAGTATCCAAGCTACTTACGAAGCGTTTGGAATGAGGCTTAAGAGAGGTCTCATGAGAAGACCGAGGAACAGCTATGATATCGAAGCGGAATTGGCGGAACAGGCAGAAAGGATAAACGCCGAAAAGGAAAATGGCGAAAAAAAAGGAAAACGTCAAGGGTGTGGGTGGGGTGTGGGTGTGGGGTGTGGGT